ACGGTAATGCAAGCGATAATGGTAAAAAAAAATGCGCCAACTTGAGCTACCTATCCAATGAGGGGTGTAGGGGAATACAAATTGCGCCTAAGCCAGAAATCAAAATGATGTATTTATTTTTACGATCCCTTTGCAATGCCCAACCTTACGATTCAAGCTAAAAAGCCTCTCATTCCACATTCGATAAGAGAGCATTTTGTAGTGCCTGACATGAGACATTGATGAAGCAAAACATGTTTGTGGAGGGCGATGGTGATTTTAAGTTCTAGTCCCATGAAAAAGAGCGCACCCTCCGTTGCCAAAGCTCGTGTTCACATGGGCCATGCGGTGTTCCAGCCCTCTAAGCAAGGTACAAAATCTGGACCACCTATCTAAATATGCACCCAAACACCCGCCAGAGGATTAAATTTGATGTCCCTTCTTTCTTTATATTTCCATCTCCCTCTCGCTCCTGCGCACTCACACACAAGCGACATCTTCCATGAATGTGAACAAAACTGTCCAAAGACTCCACACACAAGGGCGTTCATTTTACAAAGAAACTTTTAACCACAGAACTTAACTTCTCGAACACTACGAATTAGCTGGAAATTAATATGAAGGGCTGATGTACTCACACAGTGGGTCCCCCTCCTCCAGTATCGCATTCCTCCATGACGCATGCTGATGGGTTCTGGTCAGCAGTGTCTGCGACAGCAGGAAGGGAGCCACCCTCTTCACTACCGGACTGTGTCCTAAATTTAAGTGCAGGAAAATCAATTATCCCTATACTGGTCTCAATGAGTCTGGAAAGTTAACATTTAGAAACAGAAGGGACATTTCAAGGTTCATATGGCAAACACCGAATAAAGCCAAGGATCGAATGCTCATCTGAAAGAAACAACCATCTTATAAAATGGGAATTTAAATGCCATGACCATGAAAATTCAGAATAAAACCAAATACGCAAAAAGTATACTTCCAAGGGAATTTACAGTAGAGAACTCGGGTAGTTATATGGTAAGCGTTGATTATGGCTTAATAAAACCCAAACCTTACATGCACTGTTGGGGATTGATATTGGGCAAATTCCCCCGTTTAGTACCGTCAGACTGATCAGCACATCCGTGATGCGAAGATTTTCCGGGAAGACTTGTGCCACATTCCAAAACTGAAAGGGACTGATGAACCAGTCTAAAGGAGTCGGACTGTAGAAATTCCAGGAAATAACTGCGCGCGAGGAGGTTTTGTACATCCGCTTGAGCAGCATCGAAAAGCGAGCGTAGGACTGGGGAGCGCTTGTCTCCACTCATTGAATTGTGATAGGACTGAGAAAATGCACTCAAAGTCGAACGAATTTCTCGTTTTGTTGAATCATTTACAGGAACGGATAAAGCCGCATCGGTTTTGATGTAAGTCCGATAAATAGCCTTCGCAACTTGAAGAAGCTTGAGCTGATCATCACCGTCCACGATTGAACGGAATCCCTTACAAGCAAACCAGAAGTCTAACAAATGACCAGACGAAAAAGATGACGAAAGAAATTTATGGAATTGCCGGACGCCCTCTGAATCATTTAAAAGTGTGTCCAGTTGATGAGTTAGTGGATGATGAGAATCCATGGCTAGCAAGTTAAATGCATCGAAAGGATAATGGAGCTACAAATGCATTAGTCTGTCAGAAAGGATGATCGACCAGACACTGAACACGAAAATGACTAACCGCGAACAACAAATACTCCTCGAATATGCGCGTAGCCGGATTTCAATAAATTTGGCATTTTTGATAAGTATAAACAATGCATTAGTAAACACGAATTTTAATTAAAATAAAAGAGCTACCAGAAAAGAGCATTTTCAATTAAAAACTCTTGAACATAAACAATGTGAAAATTTTGGACATCAAACAATTGTTTTCATTAGCGATAGTGCCACTAAAATTTACTCCGGATTACCATATGGTCCACATTATATGCACAGTATAGGTATGGATCTAGAGCATTACTTATTTGAATAAGATACAATAGTGCATGACATTGGTTTTATGAAGCGTTTTATGGAATTACTTATATTCACTCGGTACTTATCGAACGTTCTTTGTACCGAGGTCTTATCGACCACACAACACGAATGATTAGTTCAAAACGTTGTCACAGAAATGGATCATTTATTTTTAAATGTCTCTAAGCATTGCGTTTTACCGAATGCTAAATTGGTTTTAGGGGAAGGACACTGTAAAATCCGATAGTATCTCTTCTTACCTGATGTGGTGTGTTAACAAAGAGGATTTAAGTCAAACCTATGGGTATGGACTCCAATGTTCAAAGCATGTAATGCGTATGCAAAGGTTCTAGCGCCTCGAGATTGCCTAGCCGGTATAAGAAGCTAGTAAGTGCAGCTGAATGCATGTTTTCTGAAGACGGCAGGACAAATGGACCTGAGCATGGCCCGAAGGCCAGACCACATGAACAGGAGCCGGAAAAATCCTAAAGTGACTGCCAAACGTCATGTGGCCACCTAAATAGAGTATTACACTGCCCCTCTCTTCTATTGAGCGGCATCCTCAGAGCTCCTCTTTGGTACACCACTCCCACCAGCCTGATCTCCTTGGCAGCTTCAACTGGAACTGGAATTACTTTCGGTCTGACAACCAGATTCTGCGCCGCGTACACCTGTTGACCATCAATTGCTTCCAGGTATAGACAGGCAACTCCGGTCTGAAGCATATATGCTACAAGGAAAACGGGAAGTTTCACTGTCCCGTTTGCGTGGAGAACCGTTGTGTCATTTCCGACACCTATACACGGGTTTTGTAGGGAAAACTCCGACACAAAACTTCTCTAGATGGTTCACGCAGTGTGGCTTCAGTTGTTAACAGCTTGTCTGTGTAACACGGGAATCTTTTCATTGTGAAGGATTTAGGGATTCTCCGTCGCCAAGGTAAATGTGCCTCCTTCAATTCACGTCCCTTTTTCGCCTGTATCTTCATCTTTTGCACTTCGATAGATTCAGACTTTCTCCTACGTATATATAATTCATGATTGCCGGTGCGTAACGTCAAAATGCGCTTACTAATCTTGAGTTTCTCCAGTAAAGAGTAGATTCCTTTGCAGTCTTGTCCGCTGGTTGGATTGTAAACGTCTTGTTGTGAAAAGGGGGGTTTCGAATTTCTGGCCAAGGAAACCCGATTTTGGACTCCAACAGATTATCGGGCTCATAGATACTCTAACCTCGAGCATCAGCACCAACAACGAGCGACATACATCCCCAGATCCTGTGCGATTTGTAGGTGCTGAGCCATTGCATCATCCGAACGAAGCATTGCTTGTCGGCTTGTTCGTACTTTGTTGTTGTTGTTTTTTTTTTTGGAAATCAGTTGATAAATTGGCAAAGTTGAGCAACACAAACGTAGGATGTGAGTAAGACAGCGGTGTTTGTTGGACAATAGATTTTCCCGGACACCATGTCGCTTTTAACGGACGACCATCGAAGAATAACCCGTAGAGAGAGACCCCAAATCGGCTGGAGCAGAAGGTCTTCGGAATCACTTTATACCTATAAGTGGTTAAAAAATGTCGGGTTCGCATTCCGCTGGCACCAGTGTAGCGTCCTGAGACCTCCTGGCCGGTAATAAGGAGTCAGTAAGTGCAGTTGGATACGTGTTTTCGGAAGAAGTCAGGGCAAAGTGGCCTGGGCATGGCTCGAAGGCGAACCCACACGCACAAGAACCGGACAAATCCTAAAGTGACTTCCAACCGTCATGTGGTCACATAAACAATGTATTCAAAGGCTACCATCTTTATAAAGTGGTAAAAGTTCCGTGTCCTACTTTGTTTGTTTGACCGCCCATACGAGGAGCGGCCTCGAACAACTTGAGGCCTCCGTCAAGTGGAGTGGCCGTGGGCCATGCCAAGGCCTCACTTCTACCATTTCTATCTAACCACAATCATTCAGTCAAGCCTTGGGTTTTTTACCCAAGGGGAAGTCTAGGTCCGCTACTATTTTAATAACTAAATTGGGAAATTAATAGTTGCACACGAAGTGGGAGCACCATGCTTTTTTCCTTTTGTCGTATTGAAATTGTGCTCCACTTCAGTTACTTCTTAAGCTTGTGACAAATCACAACGACACCTAAATGCATTTTCGATTAAAACATCTAAGTGAGCCATATTTTTAAACAACGCTTCTGAGACTAAATTCACCTAAAAGTTCCTTCCATTGTGGTAAGTATTTGCGTTAGCTGATTTTTGCTTTCCATATGTCAGCAATAGACACAAATTAAACGGAGAACCTGAATTTCAAAACCCATCCTTGAGGGCTGTCCAAACACATCCACCTAGCACGGCGTTTGAATTAAATTGCTCTCTCATCTACCAGGGACATTTCTAACACTCTACACGTGTTATGTGTTTCTTTGTTGTAATTTAAGGGCTAAAGCTCTTTACGTTCAACAAATCATATTTTTAAAGTTCGTTTTGCAAACATTTCTGCGACATGCAGGACTGAGGTGTAGGCAATAGCCTCGGTGCCACCTTCGTCTGATCCTGAGTGGATTGGCTTCTCAAGAATCCGTCTCCTTTAGGATGAGCCATTAGACATGAATAGGCATAGTGAAAGGGAGGTAAAGCTAATTTCTGTCCAGGTGTTAAATCGGTTTTATTTGTAATCATGGAGTTGGAGGTGATTTCCCGGCCGTCTTCCATGCGTTGTTGCTTTGTCTACCTCCATTTGTCCCCACAACTATCTTTCCACACTTGCAAAGAACACATGCTTATTAACTCACCTGCCATTCCCTTGTCTCATTCATTGCTGTTCTTTTTTTCATTTCACCTATTTTGGTTTATTGGACCACCTCCGCATGGATGTGGTCATAATATTTCATCATGCCATTCCACTCTGACTCAAAATCGTCTTTGCTCCCTTCTTGGGTGTTTGTATGTGATGTGATGTTGCAAGATAGCTGTAAGTGTACGTTTATGCGTTGATTTTTAACAACCATACCTTAACATGACCGTGCGACGGATTGCTGAATTATTCATCATTGTGTTTTGTTTATGCAAGGATTCAAGGCTCCATCATTGTACGTCTGCTGGGTGTCATGGCCTGCAAAGAATTTTAGTAATAATTCAACTCATCTGGGCTCCTATGGCCCATAGTATTCCTTTGTACCAGCTTTTTTTCTGGCTCTGGTTAAAACCCTAAGCCTTGCGCTGGTGACACTGGAATGGGAAACCAATTTCAAAGGGCCACCCTTCCAATTTCAGTCCCGCGGAAGAAGCGGTGATGACCTCTTTTTGGAAAACCAAAAACTGTCAATCTCCTTCGACAATTATTCTGGTCTGCAGAAATGCCACTAACATGGGAGCAACGCTGGACGTGATACTTCACAAATAGTTGATCATGGAACGCTTTACCATACCCGAATACGTTTTTCAATCACAGGAGTCTGCGATGAATTTTTCTAATTGTCTCGATCAACTACCGAAAATCGACCATTTACAAACACATGTAGTTCACCTAAATCCCCCTTCCTCGGTAGGTGCTTTCTCACTTCTTACCTCCTTCCATACTGTAGGAAGAGTTCGGAGATTTCTGTTCGTCATTTAATACAGGACGGGTCGAATGAAGTAGTTTGTTTACCAACTACGCGAATGCTACATTTACAGACTAAACTATGGACATGAGTTTAGCGCTTAGCAGTTTTGTCGGTATAAAACCGAAAAACAATTTCATGTCAGGCCTGTGCCGGTCGACTTTATCCGAGTACACGAAGGATTCCCTTTGGTTAAGCATCTTTACCGAAAATCAGCTAGTCGTAGCTCTCCTGTATACAAGGCACGGTTTGAAGTTGGCGTGAAGTCATAAAATGGAGCATCCCAAGGCCATCTGAGCTTAGTCCAGGCCGGAAAATGGATTAAACAATGGGACGAGGAAGTCGAGAAAGAATACCAATAGGCGAAGTCAACAGAATGGCAGCGTGAAAGTGACGAGGGCGGGTAAATGAAAGGAAAGTAGCTTTCGTAGGTTTCAGGGTGATGGAGAAGAGAGAAACGTGGAAGGAGCGTTGGTACGAAGGCATCACCGATGTTGAGTATGGATACAGCGTTCTTAGGTACGCATCTCGATTCCGTGCTCCTCGAAATGAAGTGCACACCGAGTAGTCAAATACACGTTGATTGAACGACAAGTCCAACTAGGTCTGAAACCCTGACTAACTTGTAATTCTATTTACCGAGATCCTTCTTTCCGAAGTGACAAGAACCTTTGAATTTTGTTTTAAACCCATACGATGATGCAAATCATCCCTGCAACCAGATGTGACAAGTGAAAACCTGCACAATGACAAGCGATGCGACTAGGTGCTACGTCGCATACTCCACCATCGCTATCGGTTTCCTATGCTCTCACCCCATCACATTGCCGCGAAACACGCGTCTCAGCGCCGTAAATGCATTGCCAGTAAGCAATTTCCAGACTATCAAGTGTTAAAAATGTGTGCTGTGAAGGTGAGAGTAGTTCAATGACAGTTTCGATACCAATTTTGCCGATTGGAGTGGCAAGCAGGCATCGCCAAATTAACGGTGCCCACGAACTATATTGAAACACCGCTACTTCATACACAGCCACAAAACTCGACACTTATCAATCCGCCACCACCACCAAGCCATCTAGACACGCCAGTTAGGAACAGGAGCGACTCTTGTTTCCCGAATACCTAAGCAAATAAATAAACCAACATTCAGGCTTAGTCTTCTTCAAAAGGGAAAGTAATACGATTCACACACGTAAGAAGGGTTAGAAAATTAATAATCACTAGAAGAATTTGGCACATTTCTCGACAGAGAAAGAAGACGAAAGATTGGTGCAACGAATATCTACTGAGCTTTCTCATGCGATTGAGCTTTTTCTGCTCGCTTAAGCTCAAACTTTCCGATGGCCCAATCACGGAGGTAGCCAGGCACCAGTCCCAATCCGAAGGCCATCAACTCGTGTGGCATGAAGCCACAACACTGAGACGCAATACCGATCATATTCAGCGATGAATTGGCAAACACCTCGGGAGTGGGTATGAAGAAGTTAACTTTCTTTTCGCCCCTACTGGGCGTCCAAACAAACCCTGGGGTGAGGGTAAGAAATCGTACCCGAGTGCGCAGAAAATCCCTTGTTTCTCCAGCAACGGAGGCGGAGAAATTCTGCACAAATGACTTGCTTGCGGCGTAGAGGGATTTATAGGGGCGAGGGAAAACTGCCGAGAGGGAAGACATATTGATAACACAAGGCGGGTGCTTGGGATCCTTCTCGTAAGACGACAGCATCTTAGGCATTGTGATTCGTGTCATACAGGCGGTGGATACGGTATTGCAGAAAATCATCTGTTGAATAAATTCGGTGCCCAGAAACTCACAGGTGGCCAGTGGACCAGCGTAAACCTGAGACATCCCGACGTTGTTAATAAGACAGGCAACGGAGGAAAGGGCATCGATTTCACGCTTTAGAGCTTCATAAAAATCCCCCTATTACATAAAAAATCACTGAAGGAGGAACTTCGAGCAAAAAGAATGAATAAAATATATGTACACTGTACTTTAGTGAAGTCGGCAACGAAAGACTTCGTCTGGACTTTGTACTCGCGTTCAATACTCTGAGACACTTGAAGAAGTTTTTCGGCATTGCGACTGACAAGAAAAATGTTGAGTCCATCACTGGCGAGTTCATCGGCGAAGGCCCTACCAATGCCATCAGTGGAGCCGGTTATGATGGCCCATTCTCCAGCGTGTTTGAGCTCATGACGCTTTGAAAGCCCACGCCTAATAGGCTCGGAATACCTCAACAAGGTCCACGCAAAACAAAGTAGCTTAGAGAGAATAAATCCCACAAAACAAACAATGAGGAAAACAGCCATTCAATCACCAGTTCTACTGACAGAATCTGCAAGGCCGGTCAAGGTTACGCAAACTATTAAAAAAATATCACAGTGTTTTCAACTATATATATTTAGCATCCATAAACATGATTTGGTAGTACAGTCATGCTTTTCCACATTGCTACGTAAACTCACAAAGCGAATCATTTATACCCCAGTTTGTTGTGCATGTGCATGCAAATTAGGAAACAATGGTGTTATCAGAGGAATGGGAATCGAATTATAGCTTTCCATTGTAACCAAACTCTTACGCCGAATTGGAAAGCCCTAGAGTGAGTTGTTAAATGGTTGGTGTAAAGGATACGCAAGCATGATGCAGACAGCCTTTGAAAGCCTATGTCATCTAGTTTCGCAATCAGAAACTCTGCATATACAATTCAAACGCATTGCTTCGTTTTGTAATTTATTGTTTTTGAAACCACAGGCACTACGTCTTCCTAAAATGATGTCCAATTTCGGAATTAAATGCGCTGATTGAGCTATGGAAAATATTTTAAAATAGGTTAAATTTTTAAAGCCCTTATTATTTATCCCAAATAAAACAACCATAATCAACCATGAGCTTTTTTATTTCACCACTTGTGGGCATCGCCTTATTCAGTTGACCACGCCCGGTGCTTTGCATTTGCATAGTTCGGTGTACAGCGCGGCGGTGCTCCCGATGGCCCTGTCAGTCAATGAGCAAAAGCAGCTGCAGTTGGACTCGCAGTCCAAACTGGCACATGCCAAGACGCCTTTGGAAAAGCTGCGATATACGTGTCTTTCTCGTGGCGCCAGTGGAATAAATGGACTAGGTCGACAATTTCGTGTAGTGGATGACGATGGCAACAAGTCACTTTCTTTGCAAGAATTCGAGAAAGGTTGTCATGATTTCAAAGTTGGCCTCACGAAGGAAGAAATAGATGAACTTTTTGCTGGAATCGACCGAGATGGATCTGGATCGATCAACTTTGATGAATTCCTTGAAGCTTTGCGGGTATGGCGCAGTTTGTTATCGAACCTTTCAGCCGCCGATGTCGGAAAACCGCAAAAAACTGGTGGATCTGGTTTTCAAGAAGATGGACAAGACCGGTGACGGTGTAATTACGGTAAGTGTGCTTATTCGGCTACAAGTTAGTACAACCATTATGATTAAATGGCTTTTGGGGTAATACGAAGTACTAAGCATTTTAACTGATTCCATAATGAGTGGATTGTGGTGTGTCGTTTATTCTGTTTATATGATATAATGAATGTAACGAATTTATGCTACAAGAAAAGTGAATGCATTCTATTCCTTTGGATCGTACATTAAAGCATTAGGATTTTGACATTGGCTGATTTAAAAAGGTATTACGTCATGCAAATGTCGCACTCCGTCCTTTTGGTAGCTTTCTGAATAGATTCACTGCTCCTAAGGTTCCTTATTTAATTAAAGGTCGATGACTTGAAAGGTGTATACGACGTCCGTAGCCACCCAAAGTATTTGAATGGCGAACTGAGCGAAAGAGATGTATTAAACGAATATCTAAAGGCTTTCGAGTCCAGAGGTGAGGTCGATGGGAAGGTGAGTTAATCTTCTGAGAGAATTTTTGGCTTTTGTTGATTTCACAGCTCGGTTAATTCTGACGATTCGTTTTTTATATGATTTTGAATAATAATGTGGTGCGTTGCATCGGTTTTCTTGAGTTAACAATGATAGCATCTATCTTGTTTGAAGCAAAATTACTAGAAAGCAACTGATCTGAGATTTTACGCTTGGACTTATGGTAATGTTAGGTTGATTATGCTTTTAGGACAGTGAATTTGAGGTGTCGCTCTGCACTGTTAACGAAGTGATTTGGTTTTTATTGAAAAGATGGTTGGGACAAATTTTGTACCTTTCTTGATAGGATAGGGTCCTTTATTTCTTCTATCGCGGAGCCTTGCTGGTCTTTTTTAGTAATCGGCAAATCTAGCACGATGCAATAGCGTCGCGGTTTTTTTGAACGGTTAACACCAAAGATGCTCAAAACCGTCTTAACACCGTGTTCTCACGAAACTGTTTAATTGAAATGTCTGCTTGATATTCACGTAATCCCGTTCTCACAGTCATTTTGACTTGGTCATATGAATAACTTATTTCTATGCTAATTTTTTTAGCGCTTTGCATCACATGTATGTGGTTAAGCATCAACTTTGAGGGCAAAATCTGTGAGCGCGGGTCAACTTTGGTTTAGATTACAGGTTGTGAAATAGCTCAACATGCTTTCACACGCTCACAAGACGTTCAAGGACTAAAGCGCATCTCTACTTTCTCGCCTAAAACAGCACTAGCCCATCTGTCTCTCATAAAAGTTTTTTTCTGTGTAGGATTCAGTAGTATCTCACTGATTCAGGTAATTTTGTGTTTCCACTGTTGAGACTTACTTTACCTGTTCAGAGTTTAAGGATGTTTTGGTGTGCCTCTTCCTATCTACTAATAATTCCTATGGATTTTGTTCATCAATTTGTTTTAAGGTGACATGGCAGGAGTTCTTAAACTACTACAGTGGAGTGAGCTCATCCATTGACGACGACGTCTACTTTGATCTGATGCTGCGCAACGCCTACAAGTTATAGGCTCTCACTCAATTCCCAATTGCTTTTTTACCAGAGTCCGACTAGCATGTCTTCCTCGTTGTTTCGAGCTTCTAGTATTTTGTCAATTGTGTTGTTAGAGCTTTTGCTTATTTATCGAACATATTGAGGAATATAGCATCATTCAGCTGAAATTTTCGTCTTTCTTGTCACTCACAGCATTTAATGGGCCCGTGTTCACTTCCAGAATTGGCTAATGTGGCTTGCTCTCGAGCCATCTTATTCTGGAGGTCTTATTTCTCGATGGAAATCCTAAGTACCATCCGGTGGTGCGCTTTGTTATGCTCTCCGCAAATGCGTGGATGCCTTGTAGGATTTCGCACTACCTTGACCCTTGCCCCTTTATTCCCGAAGTGGTAGTGCGTTTGCGGTCACCACAGGCTTACTGAAATGGGATCGTGCATTCCTTTTTGAAAAGGAGATTTCAGATGTGTCGTGGAGCCTCAACGGGACCTGCTTTGAGGCCTTGGGAGGCTTCTAAATTTCTGTCTAGCTGCTTGGAATGTCCATGTAGTGCCCTTCACAAGCATGAAGGCGATGCTTTAAGTCCCCGTCCGGCTTGATCTAAGAGTTACTTGAGCAAGCAGCGTATCAGACGGTTCTACCACGTCTCTTGGCTGGTTATTAATGCAATCATCGGTATGGGAGGAGCGGATAACCGCGTCAGTCACGTAAGTTGCTTGCAACTGGGATCACGCTCATCCGCAATGTAACTGCCCTGTCCTGTTTGAGAACTGAAGTGGACATGACCTGACTCATTCTTGTCTACAACTAGCCGTATGGACACTGGCCGAGCAACCGAGTCATATAACAATGGGCGGAGTTTACCATGTCTTTGTTTAGTTGGGCCGTATAGTCACACACGTCACATCGTTTCCACTTCACTCTCAGTCAGCTACACTTACAAGGTCTATCCAGCAGGTGGACTGGTGCGGGGGCATTGCGAGTTTAGCTAGCACTTAGATGTTACTTTTAGTCCTTCTGTCAAAGATCAGCACTGAGTATCCTATTAGCAGCAACAATGATCAGGAGAGGTGTTCCCTGGTTTGTTGTAGCGACGTGAATCCTCTGAAGGCGAAAGAAATTACTGTATTCAGACCAGAACCGGAAAGAATGCTTTTTGGCTACTACCGTGGGTCAGAGACTGTGGTTGAATCGCGATTGACGCTGAGGCCAAGAGGAAAAGAGTGATACACAACTTAAGTACTATAATTTGCATAACAATGCTCCAACTTCTCAACTTTTGAGATGGTTAACTGCTCCGGGTCACAACAAACCAGTGGTGGGAAATATGTAAGAATATCCAAAAAACTAGGGTAATTTGTAATTAAAGCTCACATTTATCAAATTTGTGGCAGCGAATTTGTGATAGCCACCAGAAACAGAACGGTGGGTAGATGAGTAGACCCTCCGGACTTCTGATCGTGATTTTGGCATCTCCTCTACAAGTTATGCGCAGTGGCAGGATGCATCTAGCAGTCGCTTGTGTTCATGTCACATTGCACCACCACGTTTATCTGAACCGCCTCGTGATACTTCAAACCATAACATTTCACTTGTCACTTGTTAACCACTTAATCAGGTGCTACTGGTTCACTTCTACTACGCACGACTTGGCAGCACGGAGGTAAAAACAAAGTGGCAAGGACATACAGCTGCAGTACTCCACTTTGCGGAACTGTGCCAAACCCCGAACTTTGTTCCTGCAACTTACGCTGGTCATTTGAGTTAACAAGTGCGTCTGCTCACCGTAGACCGCAGTTCTCAAAAAGGGGCTTAAACTCCAGATCCAGTCAAATTTTCAGGAGTGTCCAAGTCTCTTCTCATAATTTTTGCAACTTGTTAGCGTGTACACATCTTGTTGCAGCGATGACTTCATCATTATGTGTGACGAGAGAACCGATTGGGAGGAGCGCAGGGATCGACAGCTTAGGAACAAAAAGGCTCGAGACCATAAAATGCATTATTTATGTATCAAACAACCAAAAGTCTCCTCCATCTCGAACCCCTAGGCCATGCCAGTTGCCTCAAACATCTCCATGTCGGCAATCCATATTTTATGGCCCCAGGAAATTGTTGGCGAAGAACGTATTAATGGCGGAACGCAAAAGTTGGGCAGCAGTACAACCACCTTTAAGACAAATTCAATTGTATCAAGTAGCACTTGTAATGGAGCATCACAAGTGTTCACCTCACGACACAATGTGATTTTTACACCGCACCGATGGGCGAAGAATATTTCGTGCAATCTGTGCACCAAACCCCACCCTCTGTGACATGCACTCTCCTTGCTGCAGGTCACGCTTATTTTCCTGCCACTTGAACTCGCATGAGTGACACTTGGAGGCCCGTAGGTAAAAATTGTGTGTGTGTGTGTGTGTGTGCTTTGAAGGCTAAGTTTGGCTAATTTATGAGCGGAAGTACACACTGGAATTGTTTGGAATTGCACTTAGTAGTTATCGCTTGGCTCAATTTAGGGGTGTGAAGGACAATTCCGGTCACCAGAAATGACCAGGACTGGTAACGCAGTAGCAAATCATCATTCCTCGAAATCTCTTCAGTTCTGGAAGGGCTGAGAGTGTCAAAATCAACGTTATCTGACCTTTATACCATTTTTTTCCACTGGAAGCTTGTCAACCAGTGAGGAGGGGAGCGAAGTGAAGACGAAAGGCGCCAGGTTTCAGTCAATCAACTATGCATTGCGGGGAATGGCATCAAAGATAATGCAGTCCATAAGTGATTTCTAGCATCCAAGCTTGTTGTCAATGTAGGAATTAACCTGCCGCGTTCGCCAGATCCGATTTTATGAGGACAGAAGTTGTAGCATCACCTGAGGCAAATTACATTCCGATGTTACTTTTAGCTCTGCGTGAAATGGTTTTATCCTGGAAGGCTAATCAAGACCTGAACTCCGTCACACTCATAGCATTTCCTAGTGCTTTTGTGGTTCTGTCTGTTCACAAATCCGCTCATACCACCATCATGCTGACTTTTGAGCGTTCCACAGTAGTCCAAGACGTTGCTGTTGGCGAAAGGAAACACAATTTCTGGGTGGGCTACGCAAAGTTGAAGCACAAAGAGACTTTGAGTTTCAGACACAGCTTAGGAAACAGATTGTCCAGTAAAGTTACTATGGCGGAGTTATTGAGAAGTCAACTAAACAAATAACCAACCACTTTATTTCTAATTTCGAATCCTCTGCCTTTCAAGAGCTATTATAAATGCAAACCGACATCAAGGAAAGTCAATTAAGCTATACAGTGAGGTCAACCATTCACCAAAAGCTCAGCTGATTAAAATGTATAACTGCCTTTTATTGAGATTAAATGTTAACTCGGAAGAATCGACTCTCACATAGCGCACAGAAAGAGGATAGACCAAACAACTTTGAAATGCGTAAAAATTGGCTGATTTTTGACGGCAATGGAATGGCAAGAAGAAATCCAATTGGCAAGGTAAATTGCAGCAACAATTAAGAATCCGAATTTATCCTCTTGTTCCTCACACTGTGTGTACACTGACGCTGTTCTACCAGATACTAGTATAAACTACCCTCTGAATGAACCGCTTAAGTTAAATATAACTAGCATTTAGAGTTAGGACTAAAATGCTCATGTATTATAGGATGCGCCCAAGCGGTCAGAGATGGGAGTTCATTCGAATTCCACGCTTTTAGGAAGCTAGATGTGCTCCCAGGACAGGACTAGGCCTTCTTTTTCTAGCACACCTACAACGTAAGTCAACTCCAGAAAATAGGGCAAAAAGATTCCTTTGCCTGATTTCGTTATGTAAACTGCTCAATGTGTAAGGAAACATCGTAAAAATATATAAGATGCAGGGCACTGGGGCACCACTTTGTTTATGTTAACACCTGTCGGTTTCTTTGGTTTTCATTGTTTTGCCGGCTTTCGGACCGAGCCGAAGACCAATCCCTTCCTCTAATCCTGACTACAAATTTTCGGCCCAAAATATTGCTTTCAACCTAGTTGAAATTCTCGGAGCCCAATAAATTTCAAAATAAAACGAAAATAATTTAACGTAGGTAATCAATTCGTTCACATAGTGCTGCCTCACCAAGGTCGTGAAAATTAACTACCTCAGAAGGATTATATCTGTCAAATGACAGCATCTATGGCCGACCCGCAAGCGTTACCTAAATTCGGCAAAACGTAAACGCCAGATACAACGTTTCCATTCACTTACAGGATTAAATGGTAAAAGCTTTATTGTTTGGCACTTTATTCGAGTGATTGAAGCTAGCCGTCGCGTGCCCATAAATGCTGCCAGAAATAGGCAGGACAGAAATCAAGGAAGCCATTATTTTGTGCTTAACACAAAAAATCAAGCGAATAAATAATTCACATCAGAGTGCATTTTTAGCTCTCATTTAAAAGGCAAATATTTTGCATATGTGCGTTTGTGATCACATTAGAACCAAATCGATTCATAGTTGCTACCAAAGTTGTTTAATGGTTTGCAAATTAAATCTGCTCTAAAAATTAAAGACGTTTAATGATTAAATTTATAACGGCAGAAATTAATGAATGTTTATACTCTAGAACGCGTACTGTTAACGTTTTTGTAGGAAATGTGTGAATTGCTTTTATTGTATCATACTAAAAATGTGTTCTTCAACCTTGAGCGTCCAATTGACTCTCAGTTAGCTCAATCGCGCGAGATATACTTTGTCGAATGTAAGTATGGCTAGTTTCTCAAGGTAGAAATTGTGGTTGTTGTTGGAAGAGAGCTTATTTTCAGTTTAACTCATGACATTCGGCTTGCCTTAGTTAGAGTCAAAAATTTGTTAGCTTAAGTTTATACATTGGCAGATGAAGACCAATCATTTTAATGGTTTCATCTTAAACTGTTATGACCTTTTATAAGTTATCTTTTTGCAGTTCTTTTCTAATGGATCCACACAAAGTGGCGTTAATTGGTATGCACGCTGTGCTAAGAATTTTTTGGCTTTCTAGTCAATTGTTCTTTTGATATGTTTAGGCTGAAGATTTTTTGTGCTAGTATGACTCATTCTGACCATGATTAAGCCCATTGACATGCATTTTTTATTTACTAAGCAAACCTTTTCTAAATTTATGTGTTCTTTACCGACTGCATTAGCTGAGTTAATTTGCTGCAGCATGATGTTCTTGCGTTAGCTAAATCCTTCATGAATTCATGTTCAGATAGTCTTAGCGATCAGCCTTGGTTATTCACCGTTGATTATCGTATTTTTTCATTATTGCTTTTGTGTATTTTGAAATCCAATGACAATGCTTAAACCCATTTATGCCGTGCTAAATTGTTCTGGTTTTAAGTGATTTTTCTACGAAGTTTCCAGAGCTGATGCAAATATTTTGCTAAAACTAATAACTGTCGTAAATTATGCATAATTTTTGGACTGTGGGATCAACAGAGCACTGAATCTCTCACGCAGAGGTAATAAAAGGTTTAAATCCATTCACCTTCAATCAGTTTCTAAATTTAGGCTACATGCGCGCATAACTATTTCATTATTGTGTTTGTAATTGGAAATTGTGATGAAAGAAGCAATAAAATTCGGCTCTCGCAATTTTCTGTGGGTTTTGAATGTGAAAGGTTTCCAAAAACTGACATCTTTACATAGTGATGCCTAGTTGATTTTTCTCAGTCATTAACGTTAATAGTTCTAATGTTGTTGTTCGCTGACAGTTTAAGACGAACGAACTTGGTCGTTCACTCTCATTTACTCAAAAATTTGTTCGAAACTTCATGAATTTTGCTGTATTCCCTTATTTATTTGAGGCAGACAATAATTGCACGGCTCAGGAGAGAGATTTTAAACGGCATTCTATTATTCTATGGTTACTGGAGACACTTGGATTTATTTTTTGTTTGGCCCTTTTTTGCAATTAGATGTCCACGGATTTGGAGGCTCAGAGAACGCAGGAGTCTGCATCAAGTGCCGTTGCCTCGCCAGATTTTGAGATACCCCAAGGGTTGCGATTCCTCTTAAGGACTACTCAAATTCGTGTCTACCGCGTACCTATTGAGGGTGAAAGTGAGTCCTCGCTTATTCATCACAATTTCACTGCGAATTTTTCAGTACCTAATGGTGTTTCTGTTGGCAAACACAAAACATCTAAATAAGCTATATTTGTGTCCACAAGCACTGTTCTTTTTATTTAGCCTAGGTCGTTTATCAAAAGCCTTTGCATCAATGCATACAAATTGTTTTGTTAAGTCTTGATCAACCGTTGTTTCTTTGAAGCACAGTACTTGAATCTCGTTATTTAATAACACATTTGATAAGCCGAATTTCCATCCAGTGGTATAACTCGAATCCATATTTAATTATGGTACTGTTTGTTTAGAATTTGATTTATTTTTAATCCCATCTGCTGAGCGCATTGCGCCTCATTTAAGTTTTTACTCTAAAACTTGCTTCGTAACTAAAACAATTTTACTCCAAAGTTTGTGCCATGTGATTCCCCATCAAAGCTGTTCATACATTTTATGAATGTAAGTATGGTATTAAACCAGACTCGAAAAGTTTGGGAATCAGGTAAGATCAAGCATCTGGATTGGAGAGTATTCCTTTTACACACCGCTGGCATCACCATTGTGTGACGTGTTGGACGCAGTGGCAGTGTTTATCTCCACCATGTGAACAGCCTAGCTACTTGTCTTGTTTATGTTTGGTCCTGTGTTAATCGGTTGAACTCGCTTTTGCCTCCACTTTCCAGGATTTGCGCCGACTTCTGCTCTACTTCCGTTTTTTTTCACTTTTCGTCTAATTTTCGTAATTGTATTACCTGAGAACACTTTTAGGCTTGTCAATTTGTTCCACAAATAATCTTCATAACCTTCTTGTTTTGGTTCTTGGGCTATAAATGAATTGCTTCATCTCCTATCGACAAATTAAATTGTAATAGAAAGGCTAGACCCTTCAAATTGCTGCCATCTCTATAAAGATTTGGAACTGGTATATCGAAAATGGGTTCTATTTTTTCCTCAACGGAACCGGTGTTGGAAGAAGTTTTGTAGTCTTGGATGGCAAGACGAATGTTATAGCTCCTACTTAAATGTTTGCCTGTTTCACCTACTTCTGAGGGCAAGTCTCTACCACAAACGGTAGCGCGTGTGTGAGACTGTAAGTGGCTTTCGCACGAGCCATTTTCATCGGCACCATGCTCTTTTATGAGATCCTCGTGATCTGCGGTTAGTGGTGAAAAGTAGATGTCACCCATTCTATGCTAAAAGGTACTATTTTTGTAAGGCAAAGTGGCAGTTTAGCACTGCCACGCTTCTTAACCGGGATTAGAAATGTTTCATAGTTACGTAAGGATGCTTGAATGAATGAGTTCATGCAGTGAAAGCCATTGATGGCAAAACTGATGTGACTTTTGATTGAGAAGGGAATTTAAACAAGTAAAAGAACATGATTATTCACTCAAACGGATTAAATACGGTCACATTTCAAAAATCAGTCGCAATGTCCCCGAAAATGGAGGTGTTGGGTCAGCATCCGCTAAGGCTTAATAGGCGACAGAGTAATAAGTATGGGTTGCGTCAGAAGATGTGATTGGGCTTCAACAAACCTTGGAGTTGTCGATCTTCATGCTTTCATTTGATTCATTTTCATGGAACTACCATGAGCTTTGTCGCATGTCTTCTTTTCCGACATTGCCGCACTTTCCCACCTTAACAATCTGCGCACAGAACAAGGCGTACAATTTCGCCGCTTCTGCCACATCAGGCAGTACACCTCTTATACGCCTCGTCTGCAGCCACAATCAAAAGGACCTTCCAATTACCAAATTTTCCTTTGTCGGTGCTTCGGGTTCCTACTGATAACATCACAGAGGACAGCAGATTCTTGGGATTTTTATGGTCTTCCAAAAAAAGGAACTACAAAAATGATACACCCAAAATTGGGCAAATTCCGGACAGTTATGGTGATATATCAAAGGCCTGCAGTAACCAAATGTCCCATTCAGCAACCTGATAGGATAAATCTTCACATAATTGCAAAATGAATTGGTATTATGCTTTTATAATGTCAATAAATGTAAAATCTGTAAAAATGTTGAAATTGAAAGCAAAATTTGGGCGAATCGTCGTGGTTATCGACTCTTGAAATGAGCTTTTCAGGTAACTCTTCCCCACTGAACCACTCTCGGTATCCTCATCTGTAATCTTTCCTCTCCTCTCCTCCCTTCCAAACCTCTTTGTAGACAAATGCTGTTCAGCATTTCCACGCAAGTTCTATGTGGCAGACGGCGAGGGCAACCCAATCCTCGAGGGAGTAGAGTCGAGCAGTTGGTGCGCTCGTCTATGCGCCGAGAGTTCACACGCCTTTGAGGTCGACTTTCGCGACGCCGATGGGATCACTGTGCTCTCGATGGAGAAGACCGCTGCCTGCTCCACCTTCTATTGCTGCAATGCACCTGTACGTCTACTTTCTATCAACTTTGCGAATTGCGGTTGAACTAAGCCTGAATAAGTACTAGATTTAACTCATCAGTACGTGGAGCCTGTCTTCACCCTATTACCTGTAGTTTAGATCCATCCGTTAAGGAATTTTAGTTTTAATCAGGACTCGAAAGCATTTACAGATACAGAAACTGTATTTGGGTAAATTTTTTCTATTTATTTTCCTTGTTACTACCTGGATAGAAATTTCTACTCCCTTATATGGCACTCTAAATGATACAAAAGAAGCAATAGCCGGATTCGGGCTCTGAAACGCATGATTTTGAATGAGAGAGGAATTTGCTTTTCCGCTTGTTAGCCCATTAGCTCGAATTTTAGGTGTCTTTTAGGGAAGAAATTGTTTGAATACTACTAAAGCAATGTAAAAGGTCCAAGGATTGGATTCAAGTACTTGGCTTTGGTTCCCTAGGCTTTTAACGCTATTTAAAGGCAAAGGAAGACAATGCTCGGCAGAATACGCATTTTCGACTTACTGAAGGACTAGAGGAGGTGAAGCTAATGTTGTAAAAAACACATCCATGAGCCGACCGCGCCAGCAACTAAAAGAACTCTTCTTAATACTCCAGACCTAGTGTAGCTGCAATTTTTAAGGAATTTTCTAGAGAATATGAACTGGAGTAGTTGCTGAAGGTGGATGCCATTTTCAACTCTTTTGTTGGGCACGTCACCGATCCTCCCATCTGTAGCATTTTTCACTTCACCCGTCTCACTAAGGTTTATTACTCACCAGTACAAATTAGTATGAACGTCCTTTTAAGACTGGATTCGCCTTCCATTGCTATCGAGACTCCTCAGAGTTAATCCTCCGATAAAATGTGTCCTCGACACAACAATAGGATTGAGGTTGATGGTCTGGTGTGGAGGTCATCCAATCTTGGAAAAGCGCAATGACGAAGCACCAAATAGGTCCGTCTCTACCGAAATCGAGAGTTAAGCAAATCATCTACATTACATCCTACACGAGCAGTGGTAAAATCTTAAATTTGTGACAGGGAGGTGTGCACCTTTCACAATTCCAAAAGTCCACCTCCGCGAAGGCGTTTTTACCTCTGCTATTCTAACCACAGCAATTGTGAAACAGTCGCAGCTTCTTGGACGCCAGCTCGTGGGAGGTGTTGCAAGTTCTTCAATCGTCATCGGTACATCTGGCATTCACCTGTTCCAAGGTCCTTTTCCTGCATTACATCTACGAGGTAGTAAATAGCAATAATTCAGTGAAATCTTCTCAGTGCGCCTTAATGAAGCTCCCTAAGGGCAGTCAAAGAACCTTTCCCGTACCGTTGTGAGAATGGGGAACGCCTTTGGAACTACATGCCTTCTCCACAAACTTTATCTCATGGATCCTAAATGATGGCTTTTGTTGCTTTTCCATTTTCTGCAACAATTTTGACACCTGTCGGCCAATGTGAAGAGGAATGAAGATTACTGACCTGTGCAACCAATTGGAAACTGAATTTTGGTGCACGGTGTTATTCATGCCCCCGCAATGCCTCAAAGAAACTGTATGTTTTAATTCACAGTTGTCAACGATGACTGATTAGAACAAAACATTTCAGTTGCCCTAAGTTATCTCCATAGTTGGGGTATTTCTTGCTTGGTCTCTATCGCCTTTGAGTACCCATTCGGAGGAAATTTTTTTCCTAACTGAAATGCTCCTTCCATCATGCGTTCAAGAGTCCGTGTCTCCCCACTAACGGAAAGCAGATGAAAATGTCCCATTCCCTAGATGGATTGCCGAGACCTAGGCATCCTTTACTTAGTGATCACATGCCCTTCGCACCACGGAACTCATCGATCCCTGTCGTGGAATCCGCATTCTTTCTATAAATGGTATTCGTAAATCCTAAAGCCATAATTACATCTTTATAGATGTCTGAAGTGCATGTCCTTCAATCTTTTACTCACGTCCAACACTGGCAATTTCACCGTTTAAATGCATTAATTGGTTTTTTTTGAATTCGGTGCAATGCAACCGCTATTGTGAAGATCACAAACCCACTTTGCCCCTCCAAATGTTATTATCGTTCGCGCTGTGATCCACATTCGCCACCCTCGATGTGCCTAGACACAGTGCATTTTTGTCTCTCCACATATTTTCTCTGCTACCTGGTGTGTTTGGTCTCTTTCCTCCATGAGGCTTCGTGATTCCCTTCCCGCCACTCCTGTCTGCATACTTGTGTGGGTTTTTTGTCAATCACCTGACTAACGACTTGGCATATAGGCTACCACGTGAGCTATAAGTAGGCACAAAGTAATCACCTTTCGGTGGAGTTTGATAGGACAGCCTATTGAACTGCCTAAGGACTTTTTTGAGTTCTCGTTTGGTCGCATCTACCATAGACTATTGCCGCTGACTCCAACGTATTGGTCGAGTCGGAGAAGTCTCTGATAACTTCGATAGTGTGCATACAATGAGCAGCGTTTTTCTCTCTTATAGGCCATTTCAGTTGTGTCTGGTAATGACAACTACGGCACCGTTATGCAATCGGGCATTCTTCCTCGCACTCGGCTTTCGCTACTTGATGGGCTTGGGAGGCCGCAGCTCAGGCTTCTGGGTCCTTGCGCTCGGCAAAGCCGCTACATTGATGGCATCTTCAAAGTTAGTTTTCTCTCTTTTTTTATCTTAGGACAAATGAGTGTGAGTAAATGACAGTCCTCTGTTCCATTGCAGTTGAAGTGCTTCTCAGAACGCGGCTCCCTCGGACGACTAACAGTGCAGCATTTCGCGGGGATGGACAGCTACCAGATATACTTCCCTGTCGACCTTGACCTCCGCATGAAATGCCTCCTTATTGCCTCTGCCGTCCTTCTGGTGAGTCTTCCATTCATCTCATTGCATCTCCGAACTTGTGACGAAGAATTTGATCGTAGAACAAAGTAGTAGCGTTGGTGAATACTTAAACAAGCTTCTAGCTTGTAACCTTCAGCTTCCAGATTCTGTAACCTCTTGTTAAAGTCCCTGCCTTAACTCTAATTCAGTCTTTTTAACCAAAGCTTCTACTGTCATGCGTTTCTCGTTTTAAGCGCTTTGCCATTTTTCATATTCACTGTATGATTCGTATTAAGCGATTCACATGTGGGTTTCAAATTACCCACTCATTTCCATTATCGGCGTTTTAGCTTGTTGAATGGAAGGGGAGATTCGCACTCCTATTCCTTCTTCTTTACGTTCTTTGGTATCTGCTTCACACCTTTTATTCAGCTTGACCGAAGCGCCGAGTGTAGTTTAATTTATTTGTAGCAACTCAAGACTTCTCTAAAACAAAAGGCCACAGGGTATGCATTGTCAACCTAAAATAGGGATTGGGGCTTCTGGTGTGGTCCAGAGGCCAGGACGTTAGACAAAAGAGCAATAATAGACTCTTCGGAACCAAGAGTTAGATAAATAATTACGAAACTGCGATCGTCATGTAGGCGAATTAAACCCGTTGCCTTCCACTTCTGAATGTACTCACTACACTATTCAGTTGCTTACATTATTGTATCATCACGCAAACTTGTTAATTGGTTCCAATGTGGGATACTGAATATTCATACATCCCATGTAGTGTTACCAAGATTTGGACACATAAAGGTTGGACGTTTAGTATTGACGAATTTTCGCTTTGTTGATTTCCATGCGTACCAGTTGATTTGCTCAATTGTAATTTCATAGCTTCTCAGTACCGATTATTCAGCTCATCTATCTATTACTCGTCTCTCTATTGGGACGGTTTTGAAAATGATTATGTGAATCGGGCTAGGGGAGCGTGGAGATGCTGTTTTCCTGTTTCATTTCATCAGAGCTGGAGTGACCTCAGGCCATTGAGAGTGCAAACTGGCTGTTGACGGCGGTAAGACGGGAGGAAATAACTTCACAAATTTACACTCTATAAGCGTTTTTTTCATGCATATCTGTCCATCCGGTCTACTCAACTGGCCTGTCAGTTCTCCACTGTTCGCCCACCCGCTCGCCTTTCTGCGGGTGAAGAGCAGCGCTTCTGCGACAAAAATCGATATTGCCGCGGTGATGCAGCCGTCGGTGCAGCGCGTCACAAAGAGGGCAAACATGCTTACAAGCGAATTTGCGCTTTACTCTGCCCCTTGTTCCAAAATGTCAGTGGTGGAGGGCGGAGGAAAGGAGGGGGAGAAGCGATTGCTGCGGTGATTGCCTGACGAGATAAATGTAGCATAAACAATGCTTTGGCCAACCCTTGACAGGGAATTGTCTAGGGTATTCACACGACGTGTTTTCTTTCGGAAAGTACCCACATGTAGTATAAGTGAAGCCTTCAAATGAAAATCCCTGACTTAAGGCTACTCGTTAACGAATTGCTCCTTTTAATATTGCTCAAATGGCAAATGTCTCCACTTCCTTACTTTACAATTCGTATCCTTTACTGTACAGTCCGTTTTTACCTTTAGGATTGCATTTTCGCCTAAACAAGTGACTTCGAGCGTAGTCCACCCGCCTTCAAATCAAGGCCATCCTACAGTTGGTTAGGCGCCTTCGCACTTCTGCATTCCCTTATTCCTCTCATCCCACAATCGTACTGCTTTGTTTCATTACTTCATGTCATTTTGAATCGCCACTTCCATTTCGTTGTTTAAAACATCATCATTTTGTCCTCTAATAGGCCAATCCTTTTTAAACGCGTCTTTTCGTCACATACAATTAGCTATTCTAGTCATCGGGCGGGTATATTTCACCAGAATTTGTAGTGCTTAACAATCTATGAGTTATAATGACGATTCAATAGTTTCTGAAGCTGAAGTAGCTAATCAGCTACTCTGCTGTCATTTGATCAGACAATTGGTTGGATTTCATCTTCTCAATAAATTTTATTACCATTCCATTGATGTGGCGTCCTTCAAGTGTCGTCAGTACAGATTGTGTGGATGCAGCGATAAATGTTTCCACTCTACGTGCCTCAAGGTATGCTTTGCACACCTCAATTGCGACTTGTGGTAGCGCCATGGCAAGAGTCGCTGGACTCGTGTGCCTTGGCAATCAGAGCGCAGAACTCGGTGGATCACAATTCAGACTTCACGCGCCGACACGCCGCAAAGTCTGTGATCAGACCTGATATCGAATGCAGCATGAGGGAGGAACTTTCAAACACCCTTTAATTGGAGGAGTTGAATTGCGAACCGGGCTCATAGTGCGAACGGTAAAAATCGGGCTTGTACACGGGCTCGCACATTTGCGCATATGGAAAATTCGTTAATGCTTGTGACACGCACAAAAGAGGGCTGAGTTAATTTGAGGATTGACGGTTTGTATATTGTTCGGTTGTCGCAGCAAAAGACATCAGTTTAACCTATTTGTGCTTCGCTTAATGATGCGAAGCATAAAATAACGCTGAACAAGGACCAAGTAGAAGCCGCCACCCACTGGGCAGTATTGTGGCAAACTAAAGAGTGTTGGTATCACAGTGTCGTGATACCA